ATATCCCATACTCTTCTTTTGCTATAGGCATCCCCATTGCAAACTACTAACTAACATATATACATTTTAAATTAGCCGAGTTACTATGGTTCTAAAGGGATATTTGTTATCCAATCTACGCTTAATATACTTATTACATCACGCAAACTAACATATGAAATGACTAAGCCTCAGAATCTTGAAGAGTATCTTAATAAGGTGCTAGTTCCTGAAACTGCTGTTAGATTAATAGCTCAGGATCGATGAATTAGATTGGAAGAAGCAAAACAAATTATGGAGGATAGTGCAGAATTCAGAATGTACGTACATGATATAGAATTAGAGGATTTGGAACCAAATTTTTCATAAAGTACCAGATCATGTTAATGAGTGACTCAATTGAGATATTTTGTAAAATTTTGTTTGACCAATTTTAAAATAAATATGCATCAACTTCTGTAATGTTAAATGCAATAATTAAGGGTGTGATTAATATATAGATTTATACAATTTTAGAGATTTTTTTATTGCTTACGTAAAATGAAAAATCTTCAGAATTGTATAAATCCTGGTTTGAACTAATTAATAAATGCGACATAAGGGTAAATGATCCCGAATTACATAATAATGCATATTTAGAACCTGAATTATATAGTGATAATCTTATATAACAATTTATATATTAAGTTTATATTAAGTTTATATTAAGTTTATATTGTAATATGATTCTGTTCATCTGTGTTTAATAATTAAGCTTATTACTATATAATTCGGGTTTATTATATCCTCATATTAATATAAATATACTTTATTAATAGAGATAATTTATTGAATTGTAATTTGCATAAATAGTTTGACAGAAATGTTTATAATTAATTAAAAGCTCGATTCCTTCTACGTTTATAGAAATATGAGAGTACTAGAACCCGAATTATATTATTATATAATATAGCATATATAATTATAAGCTTATATATTTAATAACATAAGCTTATATTTTATAGCAATATGAGGGTACTGTAAACTTGCATTATATTTAATTTGTATTGTTATATTTCGTCTGTGTTTGATAAGGGTATATTATGACTTTATTCGTCTGTGTTTGATAATATATACGTATTAATAATATAGATATGATGAACCTGAATTAGATAGATTTATATTATTTTAATGTTTGTGTTTAATAATATACATATTTATATTGATTTGAGGGTTCTATGAACCCTTATTATATAATGGTAAATTTATATTATTCTACGATCTGTACATTTGTATTTATATAATAATGTATATTTATATTGATTTTAGAGTTTTATAAACCCGTATTACATAATAATTAGTAATGGAAATTTCTAATTGTTAACTATATAAATCATGTTAACCATTTAATTGTTAAAATGATTTATATATAAATTTATATATAAATCATTTTAACAATTTAATTGTTAACATGATTTATATAGTTAACAATTAGAAATTCCCATCGCTAACTATAAGGGACAGACTTTCAAGTTCATTATTTATTATTTGGTGAACTCGGCCCCTTAATCGGTGATACGTGTTATACATTTTAAATTATTGCTGCCAAGACTTCGAGATTTTATAGATATTGGACTTTTTGAGGACAAAATAATTTCAAAATTTGGTAAATGATAAACAATAAACTTGAAGACCCAAAGTCTCATTTTTTTCTTGGCGGCATTCAAATACGTTGATCATTCTAATTGGTTATCAAACGACTTTACGGACAGTTATTTTAAAATAATCTTTATCAATAAAATAACTACTAATTTAGTTTTGGATAATTTGATTACTAAAATAATCATTTCATCAAGTCAATCGCTTTGGTAATTAAATTATCCAAAAAGGCCAATAGATCAGGAGTTATTCGCTGTAAAAGTTGTCCATGAAATAAACTGTCTGTAAAATAAACTCTCCAAAATGAAATGTCTATGAAATGATTTTCTATAAAATGATACGTACTCAGATTGGATCAAATCTAATTATTACGAATAAATATATTTGTGATATAACAACCACAATATTGGCTAAATTAAGGCATGCATATTTTAAATTTTTTTGTTGGATATTATTTAGTAACTCATCGCCAAGACTTTATTAATCTACTTTTCCGTAACTAATATTTGCCAATTACGCATCATTCTATGACTGCCGTCCTAGAAGACTGCCTCACTTACAAAAATACAATTATTGCTGCTCTGTAATTAACCATCAAAAACCCAATACCCTAAAATAAAAAAGAGACTTAGTATTGAAAAAAAAAAAAAAAAAAAAAACAAAAAAAAAAAAATATAGGTCCGTGATCTTTAAGTCAAGAATTCGTATCATTTCACTGATAGTCACTCGTAGAGACCTTATTTCATAGACAATTAATTCACAGACAAGTTTATTTTATAGACGATCAATTCACAGATAAGTTCATTTCATAGTTATTCAAAAGAAAAATTCGTACAGCCCGATTTAAGTCCGAGTGACATTGAGATTACAGGGTTGGCATCTCTGTGTGATATGACTAAGCTTAATTAAACTAAATACTCTACGACTGCAATCCCGGCAGGCATATAATTAACAAGCTTGTAATGCGTTTTGATAGGACACTTGCCATCTAACGTTTTGAGAAGCCGCCATTTTATCGGATTTCCCAAAATTATGATTATTGTTCCGACAGACTATGAAGGTTGGATAGGAACGCGACGAAAAAATAAAGATGGAAGGTGCTGCAAAAACATTTTGATCCACTTAACCCATTGGTATTAAAAAAAAAAAAACTCACCATTTTTGACCATTTAATGTTACACTATTGAATGGGTCATCTATCATGTAACTATCGCTGAGATTTAGAAATAATAAATTTCTTTTGTTTAATTTTTACGGTGAGGCTAGAAATAATAAATTTAAAGAAATGATGTATGATAAATATGATATAAAAGGCAACGCGATAAAGAAATTAAGTCTTTATTTTTAAAAAAGGATAACAAAAACAAGAAAAGATAATAATTGCATACCGTGGAACATTACGTAGGGTGTTCATAAAATCGGTAAATCAAATCGATATATGAGGATTTTTTTTTATTAGGTTTTCGGAAATTTCGGAAATTAACTACACAAATTGTTTCCTTTATCTGTACGTAGAATTTTTTAAAACAACTAACAAAGGTACATTTTTTGAGTGAAAGATATATAATTTTTTGCCCTTTTTTTTTTTTAATCGATAGCTTTTATTATGCTCTTTTCAACTATAAACTCTATAGCTTTTGTTCGTCAAATTGGGATAAAGTTCATTCAAATTGTTAAAGAATTTAATACTTGTAAAATTGAATAAATCTAAAAAAATGTCTATTATGTTAAATTATACAATTTGTTTTATCTTTTATAAAAAATTAAACTACTAATTATTTTACTAGTTCGAAAGACAAAAGTTACTATTATCCGCAGTAAATTCGGATCTTCATAAAAAAAATTTCATTAGTTAATGATTGATAAACACTTAGTGAAACATGTTATATAGTTAACTATATATATGTTGTACCCCGAATTGGAATCTGTCCTGATTCAGAATCGGGACAGCCCCGGATGAGAATTTGTAATTTTGGGCCGAATTATACTAGCAAAATTAAAAATTTTTTATTATAAACCCCAATTCTAACCCTAACACTAACCCTAAAGTCTTAATTCTGCCATAACAATTCACAAGATTCCTATCCGGGGTAGCCCGATTCGGGATCGGGACAATTCCAATCTGGGGTACGACAATATGCATCAATCAGATGATCTGCACTAATTAAACAATCGAATTTTTAAAGTAATAAAAACCTACGTTAGGGTTGGGATTTGACTAAAACTATGGCTTATTTTATACTAAAATTTTGCGAATAATTTTTTTGTTAGTGCGCAATATATGGTTTCATAGAGAATTGATTGATAGAAAAGATCTAATTGATATATCTACAATAATCTTTTATAGCTTTATTGAAGTAGTTGTTTAAGTTATACAATCTGTGCAGCGCATATCTTTTGTTTTATTGGTTAATTAGCAGATTGGTTAAAATAAAAAGATGATTCTCTTTGATAGTTTTTTTATAATATATTTTTAATCTAGTTTATTTGAATTTTGTAATTAAATTAGAAATTTGAAAAACTAATTTAATATTAAAACTTAAATATTGGTAAAATTAGTAAAACCTTTAGTAAATAGTAGTAAAATTGATAAAACTAGTAAAACTTAATATAATAGCCAATTAGATTTTAGTTTACAATATAGTTAAAACTAATTTAAATCAAATTTAAAATTAAATTTAATTATTATTTGCATTTTCAAAAAACAACCTTAATATATAAAAAAGTTTATTAGTTATTACTAATATTTATAAATTAAAAATAAGCTAAATAAAACAAATCTATAAAAAAAACTACTATAGTTTTATAAAATATTATATATTTTTATAAAATTTTTAAGTAGCTTATTTTTGAAATATTAAGTATTTAAAATAAAATATTTATACAATTTAATTAGCAACTCTTTTTAACAATTACTTGTATCAACTAATTACTAAAAGCAAGTAAAAGACTCAAGACCAGAAGTCAACAACAACTTAAAGTTTCTTTGATATGAACTGTTGTTGACAAAGTTTTTAATATAATATACTAAGGTGCAGATGTTTTAGACAGTTTGCAAAGAAGTCAAACCTTATTCTCTGCTTGAGTAGACTTCTCTTTGTATTCAGTATCCAAACTGAAGAAGCTTCTAAGAACAGCAAGTAGAAAGAAAATTTAAATTTGTTTAAAGATAGAAGGCTATAAAGAACTTTTGAAACAACACTTTTTGGTTAGAAAATTCGCAAAAATATAATATTTTCTTACTGCCTTTTGGTTCTAAAATTTTTGTTAAAAAGTAAAGAATTCAACAAACCTTCTTCAAAAAATCAACATTGTTTACTATTTCTATATCAGAAAACTAGATGATGACAAATCAATATATATAATTTAGACAATAACAACAAGTTTATATAAAGTTTTTAAAATTTTTATATTGGTAAATAAAAATATAGATTAATAGAAAGAGTTAAACAAAGTGTAATAAGATATACAAACTTGTTCTTTATATATAATTTTTAACTTCTAGTACAAACTATAGTATATTTTTATTATAGTTTAGCTTTTTATTAAAGCTCTTATACTGAATAGTAGACTGTTATTCTGTATAGTTAGAAGTTTTTATCTAATTAACTGGTTTCTTTTTATCTAGCAATAGTTTCTTTTAAGTTTTAGTATAAGTTTTTACTCCTTAGTATAGTTCTACTTTTTATGATATATTAGTTTTTATTTTATCTTTTTTTTTTTGTTTTTTATTTTTCTCTTTTTTTCTTTTTTTTTTTTTTTTATAAGAAAATATTATTAGTTTAATAAAATTCTATTATAGAATAGAAATTTTGACAAAATGAACAATAGTCAGCTAAAAAATCTGAAAAAAAAGTTTAGAATAAGTTTCAAATCTTTGAATAAGACTAATCATTGCTTAGGCAGATTGCATTTAAGTATAACATAGCAGTTAATAGTTTATTCTAACTGCAAGTGGTGTTATAGTATCTGCAAGGTAAAACTAGATAAGTTTATTTTTTGGTTAAGATATTATAAACTTTAATTAATACATTTGCTGATATAAAAATTTTATTTAATTTCTAAAATAAAAAAAAACAAGATTTCTAAAAAAAAAAATAAAACATCTTAATGAATTTTGTTTAAATTACAAAAAACTTTTAAAATATTTTTTTAAGAATTAAGTAAAATACTACTAGTAGTAATGATTGCATGCAATAAGATTTGATATAATATGAAATCAAAACAATCAATCAATTTGTTAGTTTAGGGTTAGGGTGAGGGTTAGATTAGAGTTAGAGTAGCATATTTTAGTAAAAAGGTTCTAATCTAAAATATTATAAAGAATTTTTTTTGTTAGAGTATAAAAGATGATTTTATAAACAAAATTTTGTGTTATAAATAATTTTTGAAAAAAAACTATAATCACTTTGATTTCATATTACACCTGATTCTGTATTCTAATTAGTTGATCAGAGGTAACAATACATTACCATGGTGGTATAGTTGTCTCTCATTAATATTAACCTTATTAATATCAATCTAGACTATACAATAAATTTTATATATTAAAATTATGTTGAGATTCCCTCATATATATCAACTTTAATATGTTCTCTCATTAATATCACTATCAACATGAATATAAGAGCGATCCAAATAGGTTGATATTAATGAGGATGAGTGAATTTTATAAAATCTATTTTTTAATAAGCTAAACTACTTTTTTAAAAGCTTAAAACAGTTTATTAATAATAATTTAACTTAATATATAGAAATAATTTGTAATTTCTTTATAATTTTTGAAAAAAACAAATAAAATAGTTAATTTTAAAAAGTAGTTTATTATAAAAAATATATAGTAATATATAGTAATATATAGTAATATAGTTTTAAAAATTAAGCTTAATTTAACTTATTTTTTAAAATACTGTAATATATATAAAATATATTTTTATACTTAATAAAGTTTTTTTTTTTTTATTAACTAGCCTCTTTGGCATAGGGTTTTTATTCAAGTATAATGGGCGGGAAGCTCATAATGGAATCCCAATTATATTAGAGAATACAACTAGTCACATATGCATCTTTTGAGCGCCTATTTAAGTAGTCCGCATATAGATATATACCATAGATTCTATACTAGCTGCTATACCTATAACCCAACTAGGAGATTATCTATTTAAATCCTCTATAACATACACTGCCCCTTGTATTACTGGAACACTCCGTTACATTCATCAATTAAGAGTTCCAGATGTATACCGTAGCTTTAGGACTAATTTATCCTTGAAGCATTGTTGCTAGAGCTTTTCGTATCTACAATCTGACTAACCTAAACTTTCAGTAACTTATGCCAAGTCCGAGAATGTGTATTTGCAAGTCAAAGCTGCTACTATTACCTACTACTGCCTTTGTAGAGTTCACTCAAACCCTAGCACCTACTTTATGGACCATCTATCATTTCACTAATCCCCAAACTTCCAATCTAGATAGCCCGGAAAGGCGGACCCCTTTCTCAGAATACACTGACGGCCTAGTTGGTATTGTGTCTTGCCAAACACCTCGACTTGTCCAGTTTCTGGATCTTTGGTGATAATTCTTTACGTAGCACTGTCAAAGATTTGTGCTACTTCTCTACTCGGAACTTGTTAAACAGGCTTCTATATGCCCAATACCTGGATTTACACAGCTGTTTCACCCAGTTCATGTAACTCATGCATCACACTACAGTTTTATAGCTTCTCAATAACCCCTGGTACAACCAAGTTTACAGATCTGCTGATCTATCAGATTACACACAGTCTGCTGTAACACATTCTGTAAATTTGAATTTCATCACCAGTAGAATTCAAACTCTTGTTCTGCTGCTTGGGGATGTGAAAACTTGACCACTTTACTAAGTCACCACACCCTCTTAATAAAGATTATTAGTTTTTGTTAAATTAAAAATATATATTTTTTTTTTCAAAAAGATAGTAGCAATCTATCAATATATGATTATTTAAAAATGCACTATTTTATTAGGTTAGCATTTTGTTCTAGATTTAAATTAAATTTAAATCTGTTTTTTTTTTAGTAATTTATTTTTTTTGATTTTTTTTTCATTTTATAATCTTTAGATTTTTTTTAGACTGCTTTAAATAAGCATTAACCAGTTTATTTTTTTCTTATTTTTTATTATCATCACTAACTTCTTTTTTTTTTAGATCTTTATATTTGAAATCAGCTTTGCAAAAATACTACTTTGACTAATCAACTTGGTTTTGACGATAGAAAAGCATTAGCAGTAGCACTATATGAGAATACTACCTTAACTTTTTTAAATTTTGCTAGGATTGAAATGCAAAATGAAACTAGGCTAAGACT